CACACACACACACACACACAGCGCCTCTTCAGAGCTGCAGGATAAGACTATTACCTGGGAGGAATGGAATGATCCTCTTCTTGGGGTCTTTCTGGCCCCCCTCGATCGGGAACTTGTCGAGCAGCTGCATCTGTTGAAACACGAGGAGAGGAAGAGTTTATTCATTTGTCAGCTCAGGAGGAGAAAAACGGTGGCAGTCCTGAGTGATTAGCTTAGCATAAACACGTAGCCTGACCCGGTCCACAGACCAGAACCTGATCCAGTCAGGTTCATTAGTGGGATAAAAAAAGAAATGTTTGATTGTTTTACTGAAGAGCATCACAGAGCCTCATCTGTCAACAACAACAAAAAAAAAATCCACGAAACAAAATAAAGAGTCAGCATTAGCAGCATGCTAACATCTGTGTTCCTCCCGATCCTGCACATCTCCATCCCTRAGATCCAGTTCAGCTAGAACGTGCAGATCCACCCTGAAGGTCAGACCGTGCAGTGCTCAGTGGAATCTGTGTTTGTTCACCTGAAGCTACATTTGAATCATTTTATAACCTGAGAAAAACAAAAAACAACATCTTTACCCCCAAAACTGGAAAAACTCTGAACACTAGGACCGGAACCGAGGGTCCAGGTGGTCAGGTTCTGTTCGGGCTGCTGAGGCAGAGCAAAGTAAATACATTTATAAAAACAAGCTCGGTGCCAAAGCGTTGCTCCATTTCTCACTTCACTGTCTCCTTGGTAACGGCACCGGGCGAGCGTGAAGACGAGTTGTGAAGAGACGTGATTGGACYGTTCTGCACGGCTCTGGACCACTGGTGGAAACGTAGAGTCAGGTAAAAAAAAAAAAAGAGAGAGAGAGATTCTTCCTTATCTGCTGCCAGAGTGAATACAGGTTCTGTTTTCTTTCTCCAGAACAAGCTGTGAGACATTCAGCCCAGATTAAACTGATTTACGTACATCATTATTAAAGAAATAGCCTTTCAAAATAAGAGTCTGTTTTAATTTAAAGCTGGGCGAGAGTCATATATATAT